AAGAGAGTGTAAAGCAAGAGACAGAACGCAATCTGATCCATATTTAAAGGCTCATTTGGTAGCTTTGTAGGGAATGGGTTGGAGGAGGGCAAGAGCAGAAGGAAGAGCCATACACAAGGCTACGTCAGCAGTCCCAGTAAGGTATGGTGACTTGAACCGGGTGATGGCAATGGGCATGGAGAGAAAGGAACAACTGGAGACAGGCCGAGAGGGCTGGTTGTGGATTGGACGTAGGAGCATTAATGAAAGTACACATAGAACAGCCAGGTTGCTCAGGCCCTCTGTGTAGAGTGGAATACCTAGAATAGTGGCATGTGCACTGAGGCTAAAGTCTGAGAACTGTTCACTAATGACAGTGGTGCTGCTAGTGGAATCCCAGGCCTTAAAGGAGAAGTAGGGCAATCACTGAGGTTTGATGAATGACCTGCCATGACAGACCTTGAGAATAAAATTTAAAGTAAAAGGAGTACTCACTGTTAAATTGGAACTAACTGATGAGCACTCATGTGCATAGAGGAAAATAAAACTCAATGGAAATCAAGCAGGGGGTGGAGGAGGAGGGGATGGGCGAAACCCTACCTAACAGGTATAATGAACACTACCTGGGTGACAGGCACACTTTTAACTCTGACTCATTACAAAAGCTATCCATGTAACCAAAAAACATTTGTACCCCTGTAATACTTCGAAATTAAAGAAAAGTAAAAAGTAAAAGGAGCTGTACTCAGGAGTGCAGGAGCAAACACACTAGGGGTCCACCACCCGGGAAGCATGGTTCCTCTTCCTTTGGTACCCCAGCATGTCTCCCCACTCCCCATCACCTCCCCTTTAACACACAAACAAACACATACACAGCCACCCAAAAGCACTTCTGCACCCTCATACGCAGACCTGCAGTCTTCCTTCTTATTCAAAGGCAAAGCTGCTGGGAAAACACCAGGTCTTTTCTAAGAAGAATCATAAAATCAGCCTTTCAAGTTACACAAAGAAATCCTGCTGTGATTTCTATTGGAGTTGTTATTAATCTATAATATAATATCTAAGATGAGAATTACACTGGATGGAAATAATCTAAGAAAGCTTAGACTTGGCAGAAAAGACTAGTGAACTTAAAAACATAGCAATAGAAACTTTGCAAAATGAAAAAGTGAAAGAAGACTGAAAAAAAGTGAAGAGCACCTCAGTGTGTGACAACTTTAAGCAGCCTAACTTGAATACCTAATTTGAATAGCCTAATTTGAATAACTAATTTGAATAACCTAATTTGAATACCACAGGGAAAAATGGAGTGGGGGATAGAAAGTGTTCAAAGGAATAATGGCCAAAATTTTGCAAACTTGATAAAAACTATAAACCCATAGATCCAAGAAGTTCAATAGTCCCCAAGCACAAGAAACATGAAGAAAACACAAAAGCACTTCATAATCAAATTGCTTAAAAGAAATTGCCCAAGAAAAAAAAAAACACATTCTTTATAGAGCAACGAAGAGAAAGTTGAGAGCATATGATTCACTAAAAACAATGCAAACAAGAATACAATTGAGCAGCATCTTTAGAGTCTTAAAAGAAAAAATAAGGTCAGCCTAGAATTATATCATTATTTATTTTGTTGTTCAAGTTCTATCTTTGGCCATTATGAGTTCTTTCAGGTTTTCTCCTGTGTCTATTTCATAATTTATTTTCTTTTTTTAGAACTTTGTTGCTTTCCGACACTATAAGATGCTCCGGGGTCATCTTCTATATTCTCAGGCCAGCCCTACAATCAGCCATTTCTGGTCCCTTGTATTAGAGAGTGATATTTAGAAACCAAGATTTGGGTGCTGGGTGTGTTTTTCCTTAATGAGATGTCAATGCTTCTAGACTCTTTCATGTGTAGTCATAAACATATTTATTTCTGTGTCTGTTTGTGTGTGTATAAATATCAGCTCATGTCTCTGTCCCTAATCTAATACCATAAGATTCATTTAATCCTCCCCCCTTGCTTATTTGTAACTTCTTTGAGGGGGAGAAATCTGACACACTCTCTCTGCCTCTCTCTGTCTCTATCTCTGTCTCTTTCTAAATATAAAAACATATATACATCTATGTATATATTTAACTTCTTTCTTCACTCTAGTATACATGTAAAATAGTTTCAAAATTTCTAACTCTGTGGCAGCAAATTTACCAACTATAGTGTTTATGTACAGTTCTTTTTGTCTTATCCTTGTAGTATCCAATCAAAACAGTTCTCCAAAGTTATTTGAATCAGCTTATTTTTTCACCACTCCATTGGGTGATGTTATGCCAAGCCTTTGTAAGATAATTATGTTCATTTGTCACACTAATCATTCTATCTTGGCATCCCTCTTTAATTTGCATACTGTAAGGTTAATGCTTTGTGGTGTATAGTTCTGCAGGTTTTGATAAATGGATAGAGTTATGCATCCACAATAAGACCCTACAGAATAATTCATTCACCCTAAGAATTCCCTTGTGTGGTCACTTTGTAATTGACAGGTAGGAGAATATTTTATTCAATTTATCATTTTTTATATAATTTGAATCTTTTTAAAAGTACAATGTAATTGGCTTGTTCAGTAACGTCTAGGAGTCTCCTGACATTGCCAAATGTGGAGCTACATCTGCCCTATGTTGGCCTATTTCTCCACCCCCTACCATCCCCTGTGTAAGATGATATCAAACTGTCTTACCACGTTTATCTAAACACTTAAAACACGCTTTAGGCTGGGCATGGTGGCTCACACCTGTAATCCTAGCACTTTGGGAGGACGAAGCAGGAGGATCACTTGAGCCCAGGAGTTTGAAACCAGCCTGAGCAACATACTGAGATCCTGTCACTATAAAAAACTTTAAAGTTTAGCTGGCCATGGTGGCATGTGCCTATAGCCCTAGCTACTCAGGAGGCTGAGGCAAGAGGATAGCTTAAGCCCAACAGTTCGAGGCTGCGGTGAGCTATGATGACATCACTGTACCCTAACCTGGGCAACAGAGCAAGACTCTGTCAAATAAATAAATAAACAAATGAATAAAATTTAAAAATAAATAAAATAAAATAAAAACACGCTTTACTCATGGTGGAGGGGTGTCCAACAACTGGTTCATAATTGCAATTATACTCTAATGTGTCAAACTTATTTTAATGAATTTTTGCTAAAGATAAGTTGTAATCGAAACTTGTTTTCTATATTTACCATGAACTACCAGTTCTGTTTGAGAGGAGTCACTTAGGCTGGCTTTTTTTTTTCTTTAATGAAGAACTATCCTTACTGCATCTCCCCAGTGCTTTGCATTCCACACAGCACCAGGCTAAAAGGCAGATGTGACTGACTGTCTGGAAAAAAGTATGTTAGGCTGTTATACATACCCAGAGGATTCAGAATCAGATTAGTGGATAAATGTTTTATAAGAGAGGGTGGAATTTTGAGTGACCCCAGCAAATAAAAGGTGCATTCTACAATGTGTGTGCACCCTGTAAAAAGTTATGCGTTTTAGGATCTTTTTCCTTGCCCTACATCTCCTTGTTTCACATACTGAAAATATATGCTGCTGTCCAGCTCTCCTTGCAGTCCTTTTTTGTTTTAATTTCAGTATATTATGGGGGTACAAACATTTTGGTTACATGTTATGACTTTGCCACACCCAAACCATGATTGGAGGTGTGTCCTTCCCCCCTACAAAGCTCACCCCGTCCATTAGTTATGAGTTTACCCACCTCCACCTCCCAGCCCCCGAAGAATATTACTACTGTGTGTGCACCCCAGTGTTGATCAGTCAGTGCCAACAGAAGTGATGCAAGCTCTATGCCTGAAGCAGGAATTGCTGCTGATGTAGGTCAGCCCTTCTTTTCCTCGCCACTCCCTCCTAATCAATGATCAAATCTGACTTATGCCCTCTCTCACCTCCTACCTCTCTTTCCCCACTCCTACATCCTAGCAACCACCCTGCCCTGTTTATTCCATCACTCAGTGGCTGCTCATTCCGACTGCCACTGCCTCTCATGGCCCAGTAGCATATGTCTTTATCTTTGGGTTCACTTGCATCTGTGCATGTACTCCTCACACAAAACCAGTCTTCCTAAAACACAAATTCATCTTATTATGTCGCTTCCTAGCTAACAATTCTTCAAGATCTAATGTTCTCATGCAAGATAAGGGTCTAGCTCTCTTCCTACATGCATGCACGGCTCAGGCTCTGGCCTCCGCCCACCTCCCAGCCTCATCTCCTGTCACACCCCATGCCCATGTCACTGTGCTCCCATCCCTATGAGGCTCCCTGTCTGGAATTGTCTTTCTCCCTCACCTCCAGCCATTGATCCAACTCCTATTTAAACGTCAAGACTCAGTTCAGGCATCGTCTCTGCCAGGCCTTCTCCATGTCCTCTCTTCTGCATCACATACCCTGTCCTTGCACCCTCTGTGCACTTTGTGTATATTTCTCTGTCAACATATAATTCTCTAAATGTTAAAAACATAATTCTTACCCAAAGAGATAGTGAGAGCATGCCAACGTTTTAGTTATCTCATTAATAGAGGAACTCATGAAGTGAGTTCAAAAGAGAATTTGAAAAAGGAGGATTACTACAATGAATGTGAACAAAATGGAATGATGAATTAAGATTGCTAAATTAGATGCCACCCTAGTTAATGTCCTATAGGGCAATTAAAATGTAGCATTTGGGTTATCTCATTTTTCCATCACAGAAAAGAAAATCAACTCATCAGTTTCTTATGAGATAATTTCTAACTTTACATATATCTTTAAAATATCTGGGCCTAATCAATAATAACTTGTCAAAACCTTTTCCTAGAGTAAAATGACCCTTGGGTGGGCTTGCTGGACAATTGTCTTCTAGATGACATTGATGGAAATTGCATCTTGTTTCCTTTTTTTTTTTTATTCATATCTTATGTTTATTTACAAACATACCTAGTATGCCATGAGTTCAAGAGTTTGATCCATTTTTCAAAGAGATTGCACCTCTTAAAATGCTCTTCATATCTGTTAAAGGATGAATTAAAACATCTTTACTTCTTAAGCAATTGGTGTCTTACAATGAAGAAAGGTGCAGCAAATCCAGATCCAAAGTACACAGTCATCATAGCATCATAGCATCATTATTTTCCACAGAAAACGGCAAATTCTTCCCCGGGCCCTCCTCATAGTGGCTCCTACGGACCACAGAGGTTGTGAACCTCCGGATGCTCTGTGCCAACATGGCGCTGCCGAGAGCTCCGCGAAACGCGCGGAGAAAGAACACGGAGGAAATGGCGGTTCTACACTCCATCTTGTTTCTTTATTTCCAAGTTTTGAGTACTTTTTCCCCGCACTATCATTATCTTCCCTGAAGCTATACTTTTTAATTCAGTCATTCTGGCACACACTGTGAACTTGAGGGAACTTAAGAATTTGTGTTCGAAAGGGGTGTGGATACCCCTTGGGATGTGGGAAGACTTTTCAGGGGTTGCACAGCCATGGGTGGCTTTTAGAGGACATTTCCAGGTCCTCACCCTAGGCGCATACTCTGTCCTATAGCAAACCTTCACTCAAAAGTGTCTCTGTTCTGCAAGTTCTTTCCCACCTCCCATGCAGTCACCCTTCTGCCACCTCATCAAAGCCTCCCACCCATCCCACCTGATCAGGGGTGCACCCAGGGCTCTAAATCCCTCCACAGTGCCAAAGAAGGGACAATTTGAGAAAGCACTGCCCTGAAAGAACCTCCTTTCATCTAAGCAATAGACTCTTGGCAAGTCTGTAGGCACAAAGACTCCTAATGCCATGTTTATTTGGATTAAACTATAGAATAAGAATTTTCTGTCAGAATGTAACTTGGATTTGGCAGACTGGCTGACAATAAGGACTGGCTTTGGCAAGTAGGTTAAACGGTGCTTATTTTCCATTAAGTGAAAGAGTCAAACAGGCCTCAAGAGTCTGACAAAAATTAGCCGGGCAAGTGGTGCACTCCTGCAGTCCCAGATATTCAGAAGGCTGAGGCAGGAGGATCACTTGAGCCCAGGAGTTTGAGATTGCAGTGAGCTGTGGCCAGGCCACTACACTCCAGCCTGGGCAACAGAGGGAGACCCTGTCTCTAAAAAAAAAAGAGTCTGACAAAAATATACTGAAAGCCTGTCTGCAATATCCTGGAAAATACATTCTTTGCATCTATAAACTAATGATAAAGAAATTTAAATGCCAACTTAAAAGTGCCTGGGAAATTAAATAGTTCTGCTTTTTAAAACAATTTTTAAAGGTCAACAAGCAAAACTCTGAAGACCACTTCATGGGAGGAAAATTCTGGACATCTGAACTCCAGTTGAAGCCACAGGCAAGACCCTCATCTTTTTGCTGTTGGCTTGCTGGGCACTGTGGTGCCTCCTTTGTTTAGTGCCACCTCTCCCTGCAGCCTGAGCAGGTGATCTTTTCCCACTGATTTGATTTTAACACTGAGTGTTGGCTCAAAACTCACTTTCTATCTGTTCCCATTCCTCACTACCTCTAGTTGGATGAGTGGAAAGGTCCTAGCATTGAGCCCCTCCTGGTTCCCCTGTGGAGAGTGTATAGAAAATGTAGGTCAGTGTAGCCTGGATCACATTACTGTTGTTTTAAGTTTCCTGGTCATTCTCCCTGTGACTTCTTTGTTGTACTTATTGCAGTTATTTGAGTACCAGACAGTCTCTCTTTCTTTGTAGACTTTCATCTTTTTGAGAACAATACTTTTTATTATTCATCTGTCAACAAATAATTGAACTGAAATAAATCCAACTGGCCCACTAGACCACAAGCGTCTCAAGGACAAGTATGTGCCTTATTTGCAATTGTATACTTAGTGTCACCGCAGAAAAAGCACAGCACATTTATTGAGAGCTAACTTCATGCCAGGCCTATGCTAAGTAAGCCCTTTAATAAGCAGTCATTGAGTCATTAGGACAAACCTGTGGGCATTGTCTACATTTTAAATGCAGGGAAACAGAATAGAAGAGATTAGTTATGGCATCCACCGCCACACAGCCAGTAAGTGGTGCTGCCAGGATTCAAGCCACGGCACAATGACCCCAGAGTTTCTGATCACAAGTCAATACTGTCTCATAAATCAGATTTGTCATATTAGATGCATAGTGAACAAAATTCAACAGGCTTTCAGAGGAACAGGGCCCAAGTGACCTATTGTGAACCAGAACGGAAGAGAATGCATTCTTCCCATCTGGAGAACTGCAGCAGCAGCCAGGGGGCTGGGGGGCGGCTTGGCCTTGCATCCAGGGCTCAAAGGGCACAGAAACATCGCAGCAAAGGGCACCATCACTGGAGAGAGATTCAATAGCACAGGTGGACTTACACTTGAGTCCTCTGGGCAAGTCCTTGGGGATTTAGCCACTTTGGTAGGGACTGAATGCCAGCATGAGCAGATGCGGTCAGGGGAGTGGCTCTGATCTGTGAGTTTGTGGCTTCATGTTCTTGTGGTGGCACTGTTACTTAGGCTGAGACTGGTTTCACTACAGTTCTTTAAGAATTTATGAAAGTATTCCATAGTTCTCCATTTTTTTTAATCTACTCTTATTTTAAATATTTTCCAAAAAAAAGTAGTGCTAAGTAAAATTATCTTTTTTTTTTTTGCTCCTTGGACATGTTTGCTGTTGAGTTTATGAAGTTAATACCCTCATGCCTGATTCAGTGGCTTGAAACCAGATTTCAATACCACTGTAAAGCTCTGACAATACTCCCATTCGTGTCCAGTTGCCACAGGTTCAGCCACTGAAACCAATGTCACTCTGACAGAGTAACTTCATCTTCATGGGCTCATCTATGAAATAAGGTAGCTGGATGAGCTGTTTTCTGTTATCCTTTCATAATCTCAAAGACAGTGACTGGGAGGACTACCCTTTAAATGCTCAAAGTGTATTACTATTGACTTTTGCCTCTGAGATATTTATATATCATGTTATAACTTATTTGATGTTAGTGAGTCTTTGGTCATAGTGCAGCCCCAAGTTTAGCTTTGTTTCCATAGAAATGCAACTGCTCTGCCATGACCTAAGACCAATCACCAAATTTATCGTGTGTGGAAAGCTGGGGTTTCTTTTAATCCAACTTGACAACCATTGACCCTATTGAAGCCCATACAAGAGTGTAGATAAACTCAGGGTAAAACACAATGTAAACTGCCAAATCAGACAGATGTAAAGTCCATCAATTGGTGAACACACTTCAACCAAATAGATGTTTAGACAGATGATAGATATTAAATGGCCAGAGAAATTATTAAGGATTTTATTGATTTTACAAAGGATGATGTAGTTTCACTGACACTGCAGTATAAGAAATGTAACAGTCAAAAGATATTGCCTCCCACCCCTCCATCCCCAAGAACTCTCAGTAAAGGAATTTCAGAGTAAACTTTCCTAAATATTATGTGGAGGATAAGTTCTTTGTACAAATGTTTTCATGGTATATTATAAAGTATTTCAACATCTAGTAATATACTAGTAAATATGTTATTAAAAATCATTGTGTACTTTCCCCCCTCCTCACTACTGCACTTGACTAGTCTAAAAAGAAAAAAAAAAATTAAAAAAAAAATCATTGTGATATTTGGTATCATTATATAATGGAAAATAAGGTAAACATGCAAGCTGTACATTGTCCAATTTGATTACCATCTGGCTTTGTTGCGGGAACCAAATCATGTTTGTTCAATTGCATCTCCTGGTATCAGTGTAACAGGGAGGGCAAGGGGATGTTGAAATCCATCTCCTGCCTCATGACTTCCATTTGATAACCAACTGGTCTGATTTGTCTGGAACTAAGGGTTATCAGGGCGTGGGACCTTCAGCATTAAAACCATGGCAGCCCATGACATACCAGGTCCTCTCCACCCCTCTAGATGTTTTTAAATGGAAGATCTGAGGCCGGGTGCAGTGGCTCACACCTGTAATCCTAGCACTCTGGAAGGCCGAGGTGGGCAGATAGTTGGAGGTTAGGAGTTTGAGACCAGCCTGAGCAAGAGTGAGACCCCGTCTCTACTAAAAATAATTAATTGACCAACTAAAAATATATAGAAAAAATTAGCCAGACATGGTGGCACATGCCTGTAGTCCCAGTTACTCAGGAGGCTGAGGCAGAAGGATCGCTTGAGCCCGGGAGTTTGAGGTTGCTGTGAGCTAGGCTGACACCATGGCACTCTAGCCTGGGCAACAGAGTGAGACTCTTCGTCAAAAAAAAAAAAAAGATCTGCATGTTCTTTATCCTGGGATTTTCCTGCTTTCCTGTAAGGCTCTCCAGGCAGTCATGGAGCTGCATGAAGTGGCCGAGGAATTAGCCACATCTCTGGGGCATCCACCACTTGCATTAGAGATGTCATCAACTCTATCTCCAGATGACCAGACTGCTGCTGGGCAGCCAAGGCAGGGCCATCCTGAGTGACTTTGTCTATGGTCCTCTGTCCATTCCCTGTTGACACCCTCAGCTCCTACACCATAGGCCCTTACGTTGTATTCCCTGTGACTTGTGCCCATGGACACTCCCCTACTGGGATTTGCTCTCAGCATACTGTTAACTAATTGACAAAAATGCCAGCTATTGCAGCTCAAGGTGTGACCTCTTCCAGGAGGGTTGAGGTTTTTAAAGGGCATTCTGCATTCCTGGAGCTCAAGAGAACTTCAAAGACACAAACAAAGACAGATAGCAATCATTGTTAGCTCTGTGAAAACTGAACTGCAAAGCACTTGATAATAATAATAGTTTTTTACTGAGAACCATGTGTCAGGCACTGTGCTAAATGTTTCACAAACATTAATTCATATGTTTCTACGGCAGTCCTGTGTGGTAGGTAATGAATCAAGCCCATTTCACAAATACAGAAGCTGAGGCTGAGCTTGGTCACTGGACCTGCCCCATATCACATAGCCAGAAAGAGCAGAGCCTGTATTTGAACGGAAACCACTCTTGTATATCTCCAAAGTTATGCTCTTTTTCCCCCACAATGAATATAGAACTGCACTGGTTTTTTTTTTTTCTTTTTCTGATATCATAAGATATAACTAAGGAAATAGATATCAACTGCAATCTCAGCACCATAGTAAGCACAATTGACATTTTTGGATCATCTTTTGGTTTATTTCTTAATAAATACACACACATACACTCATACACACCTAGTTTTATGTGTGTGCAAAACGTTCATCACTACGCATGCATTCTTATCAGTCTTCTTTTTATTTTACAGTCTTGTTTTTCTCATCTCCTCTGCCCTCTCCATGATCAGGAAAACCAACATGAACAA